AACACAAGGTTTGATTAGCCTGTCAGAGACACTGCTCTGGCGGCAGCCGGGGGACCCACGGGATGGTGGGCGTGCTGGTGGCGGTGGGACGCGGAGGTCATCGCCAAGGGGAGCCATGCAGAAAAGAGGCCGTCGGGGCCTGAATTCCAGGACGGGGAAAACGATTGGAGGAGAAGGTTCCACTGCATTCTGCTTCCCCAAATGCGCTGACATCTCCATTTCCTTGTCATGGCCTTCTCTCCTCTCCGTCCCTTGTGGGCCGTTCCCGCGGCAGCTCCCCAGGCTTCCTTGAACACCTGGGAAGAAGAAAGTCTGGGGAGGGGAGGAGACCACACCAGACTGTCTGCAGAGACAGAGCTGTCTGCCAGGGCCTCCCCATTCCAAGCATCCGACGGATCTGGTCACTGAGGGGTTTCATTTGCTCTTTGAAGTTTAGCAAGTCCACTTATTTCTCAGTCAGCTTCACTGAATTGTATGCTTACACATTTATGAGGGGGTAAATTATGCTGTTAGGGGGATGAGATCCTAGCTGTGGAGGTTTTACAACACTGTTTCATTATTGCTTTTAATGGAAACAAGTTTTCCTCCTCCTGCCACCATCTCCTCTGTCCCTGCTGGTCCAGGAGAAGAGCCAGTGACTGCTGAGGGGAGATTCCTCTGACCTCAGGAACAGCCTGCCACTGGGAGAGTTTCCTTGTAAGAGCTTATTCTTTGTTTCTAGGTCACATCCAAATAAATATCCATCAGGTTACATTCTCATTTAAATAGCATCTGTTGTGGGGAGAGGAAATAATTAAAATGTTAGGCACCAGGTGGCTTTTCAGCTTTCTTATTCTGGTGAAATCAAAACCAACAGGCATTTCAGGGCACCTGCCCTGCTGATGCCTCGCACCAGGGGGTGGGGCTGGTGAGCCGCTGCAGAACGGCCCAGTCCTGCCCTCCAGGAGGGAGCGCATCTCGCTGGGAGAACTCCCTCCGTCCAAGGGAGGCTGCCGGTGGGCTTGTGTGTCTGTACTGGGCTTTTAAAGGTTAAGCAGATGTGTGACAGGCAAAAACTAGCGCATTCCAAGCTGGAGACAGCCTGACCAATGGCTTGGCAGGAAACGGTGTGCTGGGCGAGGAGGAGTTAGGTGTGGCTGCAGGCCCCGGTGCCTGGGGAGTGATTGGAGAGGCAGCTGGAAAGCCCCCGGAGGGCTGACTGTAAAAGCCTAGACCAGGGCCGGGCTTTACTTACAAGCAACTGGAAGTCATAAACCGTATGGAGACACGATGCATTTTGCATTTTGGAAGACGCGTAGGTAGTCTGAAGAGAGGGTAGTGTAAAAATAATCTGGAAGCCGCTGGAGGAGAAAGATGCTGAAGCCTGCTCTAGGCGGTGGGATGGAGAGAAAGGGACAGTGTCGAGAATATTCAGGATGTAGAACTGAGCTGAGCTGGGTACTGGTGGTACAGGAAGGGGGGAAGTATGATAGAAAGTTGGCTGGTTTGGGGAAATAGGTGCCTATACCATGCACTGTGCTAGAATACCTGAGGAGAGGTAACATTTTCGCAAACTGCCTTCTGCTATCCTCTCGGGTGCACCTAAGAATGGAATTACCTATGGGTAGCAGGCAAAAAGAAAGAGCTGGAGGAGGATGTATGGAGAGAGACTTGTTCTCTGTGCCCAGACGGAATCTGCTAGTTTTTCCAAGGTCTGCAGCTGTGCCATTGGAGCCAACCGCTGTCTGCTATATGCAGCGGGACTTTCATGGCAGCCCCCCCGCCCCCCCCAAGAGGCATTTTCTGGGAGAACCACTGGATGCAAGCACACGTTGAATGCCATGCCAGAAGTGGAGCTCTTCAGAATGCAGCTGGAACCTGCATACGGGGAGCTGGCCAGATTGGAAACCTGAGCTGTAAATAATATGCATCCTGTAGGCAATTGAAGCATAGGGCATAGGTGAAATGACTCGTGGAGGGCCCAGGACAGGAACCTAGGGACCTTTAGGGAGCAGCTGAGGAGGACGGGCAGTGGAATTTGAGGTCAGAAGAGGACAGGGACAGAGCAGAGGCTGGGAATCTGCCGTTTGGTGGCCCAGGCTGGTGAAGGGGCAAGTAGAGCCAGTAAGGCTACGGGGGAAACAAGTACACTGGGGCAAAAAGGAGTGGGCAGGGCAGGGAGGAGATGTGTCAGCCTAAGCAGGCTGGGCACGCTGCGAGCGAGGCAGGCCCAGCGGGACTGCTGTGTCCGTGGGTGCTCAGGTCGCTTCACCCAGGCCCAGCTTACTTGGCTCTTGGCCCGTACTATGGCTCTAAGGAAGGCCCCTGTCTTGACCTTTTGGGGCTCAGGCTGCCACGGTCACAGGTAAAGCAAGAAGGGCCATATAACCTCCCTTCACTTATCTCTGGGATAAGATCTTTGGGACCACTGGGCTAATGCTGTTCTTTCTTATTTTGCACTGAGAAAAAATATCAGCGTTGATACCATGCAGAGATATTTCTGCACATGGCTTTGATCTTGTGTAGGAACATTCCAGGAAGAAAATAAGAAAAAAGCTTCTTAAGAATCTGCTGCTTGTTGGCTGAGAGATTGGGTGTTGGGCTGATTGATGAAGGTCACGACACTCAGCAGTTAGGGGAAAAAGCACTCCCCGCGTGAGCAGAAGAACTGCATGGCGTGTTCTAATGCTGGCAAGCCAGCTGCTGTCTTCATGGTTAAGCACCTCTAACAACTACCATGTGTCAGCTGGAGATTTTACATAACCAAAGAAATAAGCAACGACATGTAATAATGTCATAAAAAGTTTGTGTACTTATGTTCACATAATAAGCAGGATCGTGTCTATTAAAATTCTATCTTATGTGAAAACAAATAGACTTTTTAGTATATGTATGAAGTTTTATCATCATCTGAAGTTTTTAAGTGAGAATGTGAAGGGACAGGTTTGGAGAATATAACAATGATGTGAAGGCTGCACAGGTAGGTCAAATCGTTCTCTCACTTTTTCTGTTTTTCATAATCACAGTGTAAAGATACATATATTAGTAATAATGCTTATTTCTTTGTTTCAAGAACAATTCCAATGGGTGGGAGGTAGATTTTAGAGGTTTTTAACTATGAATGAATGAAGCAAGATAGGGTAGAAATTGGCCTGAAAGAAATCCAATAAAATTATATTAATTTTGGCGGATTGTGACCAAATACAGATTAAAAAAAAAAAAGGTAAGGAGACATTTAACCCACAAATTTCCTTTTTAGAAAATTAGTATTTTCTATTTGATTAATGATGGAAATAAATCATGTCCACATTTCCTCCTTTCCCTTCTTAGCAACTGAGAAAATAGAAGATATTCCATCTGCTGCTTCTCTCCTCACCCCAGATCTTCTTAATCTCTTTAAGACAGAATTGCTAAATAATCATAGTTGATAGTAGTTTCTTATAAGATGTGGAGAACTGGATAATCATAGAGATGGACAGGACGTCCAACAGGTGTGATCGGAGGAGCAGGCTGTGTGGGGGGAAATCTGAGGGGTCTCATTTTGGGAATTCTGACACTCATTCCCCTCTTAATTTTTTTTTTTTTTTTGCACTGACCTTGAACCATCAGGGTCATTCCTGTTCAAATGCTTATAAATGCTTTTTGGTTCTCATTCATTTATGTATTGAGTGCCTAGCATGCGCTGCGCTAGGCTACCTGAGGCGAGGTAATGACCTTATAAACTACCTTCTGGTATCACCTCGAGTGAATGTAAAAATGAAATCACCTAAGGATTTGGCAGGAGGCAAAAACGAAGAACTTAAGGGGGGTATATAAAAAGGGAGTTGACCATTGTGCCCAGATAGAATCTGCTAGTTTTTCTAAGGTCTGCAGTTGTGCCATTGGTGCCAAGCACTGTCTGCTATAAGCAGGGGGACTCTCACTGAAGACCCCCACCCTTGTGGCATTTCTTGGAGACTCTCAGGGACTACCTAGGCCCTTAGGCTCTACAAGTTGTTTTCTTCAGAGGGCATGCATCCAAATCGATCCAGATGAAGGATAGGAGGAAAATCCTGTTTGGTTGGATTCTCTAGGCTCTCTGACCTGCACTGGAAATACTTTTGAGTCATCTAGTCGAAGCCCTCCATTATATGTGATGAAAACAATGTTGACTTACCCTTTTTTTTTTTTGTCATGGCCACCAAGAGTCATGGAGATGTATTTCAGACCAAAATATGGGGGACTTTATTGCCTTCACATTTTGCAGTCAGAGATGAAAGAGCTAAACATATGGTAAAAGCACTTTGCCAGTTTAATCATTCTTTTTTATCTCCTGAAACACAAGACTAAAATGATCCTAAAGGAGCTCCCACACGTCCCGGCAGAGCTCAGTGCGGGACTGTACCGAAAATTCCGATCTGATGGCTTCTGGTTCCAAAATCATTTTAAAAGTTTAAAAGTGGATGCAGTGGCAACTTCATGTGGTAACATAACATGGGTATGAGATGAGAAATGTAGTAGTGCTCATGAATTATAATAATATTAGCCACCATGGAAGCAGCCTTACCATGTTCTGGGGTTTCTACTGACGGCTTGGCAGACCTGCTCCGGAAGCCAAACCTGAAGCTCAGTCACGGTGGTTAGCTCGTTCTCAGGGTTAGCACATCTGCTTCTGCTCATTTCCTTGCTTGCTGTCTTCATTTCTGCTCTATTAGTCTGCGCATACACATTCTTTATCTTAAACCACTTCAAATTTCTCTTGGAAAGAGGCAGCATTCTGATTAATGAAATACATTTTTGGAATGGTTTTATAAAGAGTGGTTAATTATGAAGGCTTTCGTTTGTCTTAAATTATAAAGAATTAGAAGGAAGACAACCACCTTTCTTGTCAAATTATTCTGCTAATGCTTACTTTGTAAACAGTGGTATTTTCTGCAAACAAAATTGGTAAAACACCACATTTGGCATCCAATCAATGGACCACAGGTAAGTACTTAGGTAATTGGTGTTTTGATTTGAACCTTAATACACGTACATACGAAGTGTTCATTTCAGCAGCACATACACTAAAATTGGAAAAGTACAGAGAAGATTAGCATGTCCCCTGTGCAAGGATGACACGTAAATTAGTGAAACATTCCATATTTTTACATATGAAAAGATGCTCATCATCACTAGCCATCAGAGAGATGCAAATTAAAACCACAATGAGAGTTGCTCTGGCTGTTGTGTTTCAGTGGATTGAGCGCTGGCCTGAGAACCGAAAGGTCTCCTGTGGGTTGCAGGCCAGATCCTCAGTTGGCAGCATGTGAGAAGCAACCAACTGATGTATCTCTCACACACATTCATGTTTCTCTCCCTCTCTTTCTCCCTCTCTTCCCCTCTCGCTGAGAATAAACAAATAAAATCTTTTAAAAAATAAAGTAAATAAAACCATGATGAGATATCACCTCACAGTGGTCAGAATGGCCATCATTAATAAATCAACAAACAAGTGCTGGCGAGGTTGTGGAAAAAAGGGAACCCTAGTGCACTGTATGTGTGAATGCAGTTTGGTGCAGCCACTGTGTAAAACAGTATGGAATTTCCTCAAAAAATTAAAAATGGAACTGCATTTTGACCCAGTGATTCTTCTGCAGGGAATCCTGAAACACCAATTCAAAAGAACCTATGCACTCCTATGTTCATAGCAGTGGTGTATACAAGTAGCCAAGTGTTGGAAATAGCCTATGTACCCATCGGTAAATGAGTGGATCAAAAAACTGTGGTACATTTACACAATTGAGGGCTATGCAGCAGAAAGAAAGAAGGAACTCCTACTTTTTGTGACAGCATGGGTGGAACTGGAGAATATTACGCTAAGCGAAATAAGCTCATCAGTGAAAAACAAATACCGTATGGTCTCATTCATAAGAGGACTCTAGAACAAAATAAACTAATGGGAAGAATAGAACCAGAGACATGGAAACGTGGAACAGACTAACAGTGACCAGAGGGGAGGGGGCAGGGGGATAATGGTGGAAAGAAGGGGAAGGACTAGTCAAAGAACGTGTATGAATCATCCACAGACATGGGCAACGGTGTGGGGACTGACTGCGGGAGCGGTACGTGAGCTGGGCAGAGGACAGAGGGGACAATTGGGACAACTGTAATAGAATAACAATAAACAAAATAATAAACAAACAAACATATACACCCGTTATTCTCATTATGTTTGTATTATAACCTTCCCATTTGTACTATAACCTTCTTCCTAAAGGATAATGGCATTGTTTCTTTGTAAATTTACTTTAATTTCTTTTTTTTAACCTGATGGCTCAATTAGTGTTATTCAGTGAGTTATTATCTGCAAAATTATGGGATATATTTTGTCAAAATACTTTTTAAATATATTTAAAATACTTTTTGATCTGTGGCCAAACATTATAAATGTCCTGTTAAAGTGGATTAAGGATACTTCCCATAGAAACTGAATACTCTCTTCTAAAGGTTATTCTTTTGTTACCTCTAATAAACGTGTAATTTCTCAAAGTGCCAAGCAACTATCAAAGTCAGGCTGCCAGTATTTGAATCCGGTCTCTATTACTCACCATATAACCTTGGGCAAGTTATTTAGTCCTTTGAGACTAAATTTCCTCATTGGCAAATAAGGTCAATAATAATGGTACCTAATCCTAAGGTTTCTGTGAGGTTTTAGTAAGATAAATCCATTTAAAGCATTTAGCAAAATGTCTGGCACAGGTAAGTAACCAATATTTTTTATCTGGATGAATTGACATAGAAAATTAGTCACAATATATGGTTAAGTTGCTTCTCTTGAAAGGTCATTTCTCCCAACTTGCCCTGCATACTTATGCTCAGACACTAAGGGTCAGGACTGAGTCTGGGTCAAGGTCCATTCAAGGCTTCCTCCTCTATGAACACCCCTTACCTTTCCCATACAGAGTGCGTGGCCTCTTCAGGGTTCCCTGGGTATTCCTTCACACTGAATTGGAATCAACTGTATAGTTGGGCTCCCTCTCTAGATTGCATAGCCAGACACAGGGACTGTATTATTCTCTATATCACATAACACAATTTGTTGAATAATGAACAAGAATAAAGAAGCATAGAGCCAGTAGTGAAAGGAAATTCCTGTCCTTTCCCTCTAATTGATCAGATCCCGAGGGATAGATTAGAAGAGGTTACAGAAGTGGAAGAGGTTGGTATTAGAATAAAAAGGATCCTACAAACTTGGAAAGAGATTGATTGTTCTCTAGGAATGGAAATAAGGAGCCACCAAAACTGAATTTAAATCTGTTCAGTCTATTGGTGACAAATAGCTGAAGTGAACATGCTTTTGTGAACCTACCAGTCAGTGTTGGCTCTGGTTTATGAAAATCTGCCAATAAGAATGGACCCAACTCCAACAAAAATCCCCCTGAGTGCCAGCCAATCAACACTTCTCACCCAAGCAACCACACTTCCACAGATGATGTCAGTGCACTTAGAACTCTGTAAGCCCACCGGCCCACGAATTCCACACTTCTCAAAAACCCTGTGTAACATTACCAGGCTGTTCTGTTCTCGGAGACAATGCCTGATCAGCAGACTTCTCCCTTATTAAAGCAAGCAAAAAATTCATATTTGTCCTTTTTTTCATATATTGAGGGAGTCTCATCATTCTTTGATAATTCTGACATAGAAATTATTCGTATTGAGATAAATTTCATGTAACAAAATCCATTCCTTTAAATATTTAGAATGTACAATTCAGTGATTTTTAGTAAATTCACAATGTTTTGCAACCATCATTTAAATCTCTATTTAATTCCAGAATATTTCCTTTACCCCCAAAGGAAACACTGTACTTCTTAATTGCCCCTTCTTTTTGTCACCTGTCAACCACTAATTTACTTTCTGTCTTTATAAGTACATCTTTTATTTTATAAATCCAAGATGATTTAAGTAAGGACTCTTCTAGCAAGCCTTCTTGCACTTTTGACTTTAACCAATATAGAAATGTTCAAGCTGTAGAAATATATTCATATGGCAAGATAGAGAAATTGAGTTTATAATGGAGCAAAAAGCCAGAATACTAATAAATGCACTGTGATACACTTATTAAAGATGCTGTTAATGCTGATACGCAAGTCTCGGAAACCAAACTCAGGGATAGAAAGTTTTCCTCCGAGTTCCAGGCTCATATATTTTATTGCCTACATCAAAATATAGTTTGGAACAAATTTAGATGAGTCACATTTCTCAATTTCAAATTTTACTACAAAGCTACAGTAATCCAAGACACTGTGGTACTGGCACATGGATACACATATAGATTAATGGAGTAGAATTGAGAGTCCAGAAATAAACTCATACATCTGTGGTCAATTGACTTTTGACAATGGTGCCAAGACCTTAGAAGGAAATGTAAATCTTTGTGACCTTGGATTAGGTAATAGTTTCTTAGATACGACATCAAAAGCACAAACAACAAAAGAAAAAAAATATACACATCAGAATTCATTAAAATTAAAAGCTCCAGTGTTTTAAAGGATATTGTATTAGTTTGCTAGGGCAGCTGTAACAAAGCACCACAAATGGTGTGGCTCAAACAACAAAAATGTGTTGTTTCATAGTTCTGGAGACTCAAAGTCTGATATCAAGGTTCCAGCTGGGTCGATTCCATCTGAAGGGTATGAGGAAAGGATCTGTTCTGGGCCTCATTCCTTAGCTTGTAGGTGGCTGTCTTCTCCCTGTGTCTCTGTATATCGTCTTCCTTCTATGCACACCTGTGTTCGAATTTCCCCTTTGTATAAGGACACCAGTCATATTGGAGGAAGGCCTACTCTAATGACTACAGTTAAACTTTATTACCTCTGTAAAGACCTTATATCCAAATGAGATCACATTCTGAGACACCAGGGGTTAGGACTCAAATATGTCTTTTTAGGGGACGCAGTTGAATCCATAATCTAACATATATCAGGAAAATAAAAAGCCAACACCCCAAATGGAGAAACTGCAAGTCATATGTAAGATTAAGAGTCTAGTATCCAAAATATGTAAATAACTCATACAACTAAACAGTAAATAGACAGATAACCCAACAAAACATGGGAAAAGGATTTGAATAGATATTTCTTCAAAGAAGATATACAAATGACTACTAAGTACATGAAAAGATTCTCAACATAGTCATCAGAGTATTGCGCATCAAAACCACAAGATACCACTTCACACCACTGGGATGGCTAATTTAAAAACACATTAATAAGTGTCAGTGAGGATGTAGAAAAATTAGAATCCTCATTCATTGCTGGTGGGTATGTAAATTGGTACAACCACTTTGGAAAATAGTTTGGAAGTTCCTCAAAGAGTTAAACATAGAGTTACCATATGACCCAGTAGTAATTCCATTCCTCAGTATATAATGAATTTTGACAATGGTGCCAAGCACACTCATGGGGGAAAAATAATATTTTCAATTAAGGTACTGGGACAACCAGATGTCCATGAGCAAAAAAATAAAGTTGGACTCCTACTTCATACCATATACAAAAATTAATTCAAAATGGGTCATAGACCTAAATATAAGAGCCAAAACTATAGAATGCTTAGAAGGAAATGTAAATCTTTGAGGCTTTGGATTAGGTAATGGATTAGGAAAGAGAAATAAAAAATTGTTCACACAAAAAAATTGTATAGGAAAATTCATACCAGCATTATTCTTAATAGTAAAAAAAAAAGAAAAAAAAGAAAAAAAAAGGAAACAACCCAAATGCCATCAACTAATAGATGGATAAACAAAATAAGGTATATCCACATAATGGGATATATATATAATTCAACCATTAAAATGAGTGAAGTACTGGTATATGTTGCAACATATATGAACCTTGAAAACTTTATACTAAGTGGAGATAGGATCTTTACAGAGGTAGTAAAGTTTAATAGGGTCATCCGTCCCTACTCCAATGACTGGTGTCCTTATAAAAAGGGAAAATTTGAACAGTCACAAAAGACCTCATGTTGTATGATTCCATTTATATGAAATGTCCAGAATAGGCAAAAACACAGAGACTGAAAGTAGATTAGTGGCTGTCAGGGGTTAGGAGGAAGACGGAATGAGGGAAGGCTGCTAGTGGGCGTGGGGCTTTCTTTTGGAGT